GGTTCGGGCTGTAGCGCTATGACGTCACACACGCACAGGTATGTTGATTGCTCCCATTTCGGCTTGTGATATGGGGTCATGAGAGGATGTGGTGTCTTGGGAGAGGGGGGGGGGGATGGGGCTTTAGACTGGACCGACAGACCGAACTCATGCATTACAGCACTGAGCATAGTTCAGAAAGATATAAATGTGACAGTTGAAAGTATACGAATCATTCATGAAGAAACTTTCTCAAGATGACTCGGAGCGACGCGCATGCAATGTACCTGCTATTTTTTGTGCATGAGTTCACGATGTTACGCCGAAAGCTGTTCTGATAAAGTTAATCCTTTTATAAAGTTGCTCTGTATTTTGCCAGACGAACAGAAAAATGGATTAATAAACACAATCAGAGCAGCCCTTGTCAGAGTCATGCTATCTTAGCTCCGTTACCAGTCAATACATGCCGAAAACGTTGACCTCAAATATTTCATAAGTGTTTAGTTTCACCGAACTCAGAAGCATGGGCTTCAAAGCTCCAACTTCTACGCATCTATCGTTACGCATACAACATTGCATGGTGGGAAACTCCTTTTATTTGGAAACCCAAACTACTGGCACGCGGCGAAGACTCTGATTCAAGAGAGAATTCCGAGATTTTGAGATTCTGAGCGCTCATCATTGAGGATGACGCTCGGTCCTCCAGCGCCTTAGCACAAATCCCAACTACTTTCGCACGACAGCTACATTGTGCTGACTACTCCAGAAATCGTCGCCGAGCGGCTTATAGATGCCTTGAAACGATCTTACGGAGCTTCATTGCGAGCTGCACTATGCCATTATGCTAGCAATTATTTCAGCGAGTCAAAAACACATGACCTGGAACTGCAGGATATAGTTTCCAGGAAAAAGATGCAGCTTGCAGTTCTGCGAAACCGACCGGAAGATAAGGACTATCACATTTTAGGACACGACATAAATCTGAGATAAGTTTTCACGAAATCGCTTCTGGGTGTATTGTCCTACTTGATGCAAGAAAGTAATGCCTTCAGCTTCTGATTTGTCTGTATCATGAGCTCAACGCTCTAAGGTTGAGTACACGACCTTCAATATACATATAATCGTCCCACTTAACGACCAGCTTAGATCAAAATATTAAGCGTCGTCAATAAGGTTGTTTTTAGGACCACAACGTCGTTTAACCTAGCATATCCTCGTATGTAAATGTTCGATAACTCTATAGAAGATCTTTGAACTCATAATATGGCATTTTAAACAACAAACATCATGGCCAACGAAAAATGGGTAAAATCAAAACGTGTGACTTCCAAACAACCAGCTCATAGTCTGGCGTGTGATAGGGCAATAGGTGCCCAGGAATATCTCGCGGCTGTGTCATTTAGAGTTTACGTGCGTGATATTCGAAATCGCCTCAGAGCATGATTTCGCCAAAGCGCGCACTTGGTGACAAGTGCGTTTGAATCGTACCACGGTAATATTTGTTGAAGGTGCTGGTGGGGAGGGATGGGAGGCGTAAAGGACATTTCAGATATCAGCGTGGCACCTCGCCATCTTCATCTCCATCATGCGACGTTGGCGTATTAGTAGGTTTTCTCCCGGAAGATTTTTGATATTCTTCGTTAGACAATCTTACGCTGCCACTGCCTGTAATGGGAACCGTGGCTGGAAGATTGGCTGCCAGAGAAAAAAATTCTTACGGAGTCACGTGACCAACACACTAAGGGCGCGGCTTTGCGCTGAACTAGCAAACTCCTTCATTAGCTTTTGATGCCTGGATCTGCATCCAGCTGCGCATTGCGCAGTCATTGGGTGACTAGCCATAAGTGTCGTCACTTGTTTATTTATGAAATGCAGCTTGAGCCGTTTCTTAGGCATGCAGATGCTTCCCTTTCTTCGATATCACTACGCTGTGTATATGCACATGATGTACCCATAGCGAAATTTGCATCACGGTCATCATTATCATCTACATTACTAAATAAAGTCTGTCTGTCTGTCTGTCTGCCTGTCTGGACGTTTTTCATCCTTTGCCTCCTGATCCGTGTGCAGGTCAAACGGTGGGTCGCTCACAAGTGAAATGTTGACACGACGCACGTGCGCACAAGGCAACAGGCAGCGGCATGTTTCGTGCCACTGCGGTCAACAGGCAGCGCATGGCGCGTGTTGCCAGGTGCGTTTCTTGCCCCCATTGGTTTTGGGTGGGCGTCCCGAAAAAGCAGTCCGCGCCGAAGCCGGCGAGCGGCCGTTGGCAACCACGGCCGCTCTCGGCAGCCACGGGCCAGAGCGACTCAAAATTGACACACTTTGGTAGGGCATCGACTGGTAAGGCATTGAACGGACTGCGCGCGCCACCTGAAGTGAGGCCGTGTAAGCCACTCGTCACATGGGCGTGGGCAGTCGGGAAAGATTTGCTCGCTTTCGACAGTTTTCCACGTTTTATGCCATAGCTTGACAGCCAGAGCCGATGGAGGCGTGAATCAGCCTCAGGGTGTCGAGAGACTCATCATCTGCGGTTCGTATGCCCAACAGCAGTTTTTGCGCCAATAAACGTCGGGCAAGTCGGAATTTAAGCCGGTGATTTATCCATGCATTCTTTTCGAAAACAGTACCGAATGTAACACACTGTCGCCTAAACTATCACCAGTGTTGCGACAAGATTTATATGGCCATATGCACTGATTCATTACCTGTATTTGCCACCAATTTATTCATCATTATGCAGTGACACGTGTTAACATCTGCTATATCTAAAGAGCTACAAGTCCCCTTTTCGCCGGGCCGAAATGGCGCTGATGTTCGCCCAGTCGCCGTCGCCGAGTGTTTTATGTAAAACATCGGAAAGAACACGCGCTGTGTGTGAACTGGCGTTCAAAAGTAATAAATTCAGATTTCGTTCATTTATTCATGGAGAGCAAAAGCCAGGACGGTAGAATCCATCTACGCATCAATCTGCGTTGGACAATGCAAAATGCTCTACACTGATCGAATTAATAATAAGTTGCGAGTGGTTCATAAAAATTCCAATTATTTTTTTTTAAAGTCAAATAACGTGCATCAGAAAAAGCAAGGCACTTTCAATAGATGCACTTTGGCATGCCCACAGAGCGCAACAGAAGCATCATTCACAAGTGGCTGCAGACATTAGCAAACTCAGCTTTGGCAGTGACGGCCAGAACGTTCTTTTCTTGAAGCGTCTGGACTGCACAACACACCCCAATCGTAAAGAGCATTTGGAAGGCAGTATTTGAGAGAGGAACGCTCTACTTGCAAAGCATGCGCATGATAATTGCGGTTGTAAGCCTTGGATCACAAGTGCTGTCTTGCATTGCTGCTTTGGGGCCTTACGACTTAGTGACGCACCGCGTTGGACGCATGGCCATCTGGTAAGGCACGTTCAGTTTGTAATTTGCTTGATTTAATTTGCTTGATTTTGTTGTTTGATTGCGAGCGTTTGCTGTTGATTGTGGGAGATGGGAGCGTTTGATTCACATTTTACTTAAACTTATCCCCATTGGCTTGTAGTACTACTTTCTTCAGCCAAAAGAGATTTGGTAATTAAGCTTTTTCAGTTAAAGGGAAGGAGGGCCATACAATTAGCAAAGCCCAAGAGACTATTTTCGATCAAAGCGTAAGGCTGGGCTGTCATGCTATTCATTTAACTTTTTTCTTTAAGCCACCCGTGCAACAAAAAAACCGTTTTGTAAAGGCGGGTTTCTTTCTCCATGTTTCCTGACTAAGCGAGTGATAGGTGAATCATATTAACAGTTACCAATTAAACGACCGGGCTACTCTTGTCTAGGTCACACATTTCCAAAAGTCTGCATGTCTGTCTGCGTGTCTCGCAAGTTGTCGAGTACATTTGCGAGGAATATCATGCACCTATAAAAGACAATAAAAATAGTTTTATTCCTGGTAGACAAGATAGGAGGACGAAGACATAGATGCGTTGGTATTTCGGCAACATGCTTTTATGGAAACGAATGGCGGAATTGCTGTCTTATGATCTCATTAGTACTGTCTTATCTATGTCTATGTGTTTATCCATCTGTCCGTTACCATTTTTTTTCGCAAGATGCACACCTTAGAAGGCTGCACGAATCGCAGCGGTCTGAGATTGAAGCTTGCACATACGACAAGTCAACCTTCATGACAATCTACCTATTAATTTTATTCATAAAAACATAAACATTTATATTAGTTATATTACAATAATATATATTATTTTATATTATTATATTATAAAAAATGCTTATATTATAATAATATTGATTAGTTCACATCCGTCCGACGCCGTTGTGGAACACAGCTCACGTGAGACTGGATGTGTAAGTTACATCTGGTAGGGAGACGCTCTTCGTACACGCAAGGGCCGTGCAAGCGCCGAGTTGTGGAAAACAAGTCGTAAAGCTCGAGCAGCAATACATGTAGCACCTCCGCATGCAGGGACTGCCAACTGACACAGACACGGAGAGACTAGCTAATTAGGACACGCTGTGTAACGTTGTGATGCAAACCAATGTTACGCGGCTAGAGTCGGTGCCGTACCGGCGGTGGATCTTTGCGCTGCAATGTAAATATGAGTCGCAGGTAAGTAGTATGCATTCCATGCAACGAGTACGTGGAAAAGTATGGCACGGGCAATGTGTCGAGAAAGTGAATATTGTACCGCTGACGATTGATAGGTGAAGGACGTAGCCAAGACAAGGGGACCGGGGTAAGGCTCCTGACCGCACAGTTCTCACTGTCAGCAAGGTGGTCGGTCGAAGGGGGTCTCCACGTCTCTCTGCCACGTCAGAAGTACGGTATTGCCGCATCTCTGCCGCGTCAGAAGTACGGTATTGCCACGTCTCTGTCACCTCTCTGCCACGTCTCTCTGCCATGTCTCTGCCACGTCTTTGCCACGTCAGAAGTACGGAACTGTTTCTTGGTATTGTTCTGTATTGACAACAACCAATTGGATCACAGAGGGCAACGTGGACAACCATGTGGACAACTATGCATCAGAGAACATCACCTGGGACACGAGGTGAGCGATGCGAGAACGCTGGAGGATGATCTACGCATGTCACACAAGTCGAACGCCACAGGAGGAATGGTCACACATGCGAACAAAATGCATCAACGCCAGGCGTGTCAATAAATATCTTGTGGAAGAGGACGCACTCTGGCGTACGCAGAGCAGGCTCCACATCGTTAGTATCTTTCACAGCTTTGGTTTTCTCAGCTTTTTCTACGAAATACCTGCCCATTCTTCCATTTCACTGTTGGTATCAACGGGTGAAGACGGCCTGTGATATTCGGACGCCAGAAAGCACTTCGGTGCGACAGCATAGCACTGTCACGAAACTAAGCCGGTGACAAAATTAAGAACTCAGCGGCAGCCACACATCGGAGGAGTGAAGTTCCTGAGCCTACCCCCACTTAAGCTGACTTTCTTGACATCGCGGAGAACCTAGCGCATGACAGAGGGCCACGCAACGTCACCCCTCCCCAGGGACCCGCAGGCGCTTACAAGACGACCACACAGCCTTCGACATCGCCTAGAACGCGCCGTAGGACTGAGACGGCGCGGGCGCCGCGCCGCCGCTCTGTCCTCCCTGGAAGCTGCCCTGGAAGCTGCCGCCGCCATTTCCTTGATAGCTTCCGGACTGAGAGCTCGATCCAGTCACGATGGATACTCCGGAGGAGGGGCCGCTGTAGCTCTGGCCTCCGCCGGCGTTGAAGCCCCCGCCGCCCTGGCTGAAGCCGCCGCCTCCTCCCTGGCTGAAGCCGCCGCCGCCGCCCTGCTGGTTGCTGTAGCTTCCGCCATTGCCCTGGCCGAATCCTCCGCCTCCTCCCTGGTTGAAGTTGGCAGGCGGATACTGCGCCTCGCCCTCGTAAGTCACTGTCGCCTGGTAGCCGCTGTCTCCTTCGACCGTGTAGCTGACCACTTGGACGCGGCCGTCGGGCAGGTTGACCCGGTACTCGCCCGAGGTCACCACGCCGTCGCTCTGCTCCTGGTGGTTGAAGTCGTTGCCGAAGTCGGGCTCCTGCACGGCCCAGTCGAAGTTGTACGGCATGCCCTGGCCGGCGAACTCGTCTACGAAGCCGGAGGTGAAACCGCCGCCGTTGTTGGAGACGAAGCCACCTCCGTTGTTGTTGTTGAAAGGCTGGAGACCGCCGCCGCCGCCGAAGCCTCCACCGCCGTTGTTATTGTTGTAGGACTGGCCGTTGCCACCGCCGCCGAAGCTGCCGCCGCCGCCGAAGCTGCTGCTGCCACCGTTGCCGCCCCCGAAGCCGCCGCTGCCGCCCCCTAGCGGCGCTCCGTAGCTCTGGGACGAGCCGCCGGAGGAGGGGGGCGGAGCCCCGTAGCTCTGAGGCGACCCCGCCGCTGCCGCCGCCACGGCCGCCACGACCAACAGCTGCTGCACTGCCGTCATCTTGCCAGCTGCGAATGAAAGCGAAACTGTGCCGACCGCCGGTGAGGCGGCGCCTTTATACTCGCCGCCGCCACGTGCGAGGTCAGACGGCGGGGTCAGGGGTCAGGCCGACGTCGGCGGGTCACCATGCCCCAGGCGGTGTCAGGTGTCGCTGTCATGAGATAATGCGTGGCAACGCGCCGCGTGGTGACGGATAGCAAGGCGAGAGATTGACGGCGGCGCCTCCGGCGACCATTAGTGCCTGTCGAGCGGGGTGCGCGGGGGATCGGGGAGGGGGAGGGGAGGGGCTGTTGAGATGCTGGTGTGAGGTGAGTTAAGACTGGCGATCTGGTATAAAAGAGGAGCAAGAATATATCATGTACTGCTTTCGTATAACTTCATTCATGCCTTCGACCCTTTGCAAAGTTTCGCTCATATTGTGAATTCATTAAAAACTTGAGAGTATGCCCGATCTGCAAGGGAAAAGCAGACCAATGCAAACCAGAAGAAAAACTGGTACCAGTATTTTGATGACAAACGCATAAGTCTAAACTGTGGACGTGTCACCATGCAACGATAGGAAGTAATTCAGAATGGATAATATCGACACCTTCATAAAGAGCTTGTAGGTTCTCGCTGATGTAATGTTGCATGCAATTCAAACGGCGTGATGTAACGATCAGAGGCTCGTTTTTAGAATGCCTGGCCTGGTACACCCGTCTAGAAATGCTATATCTTCAAACAACGCTCACAACCTCCTCGCTTCATACTGCACGGCAACCTACAGTACTGCATGGCGACAGAAAAATCCAGCGTTTTAAGATGTCGTTAAGGTGCAAGGACCTCTTAAAGTTACGACCAAAGTTAAGATCGGATTATGGTAACATTGTACCCAAAATAGCTGATGAAATCATATCAGATGATCAGGTGATTCTTAAATCATATTTGAAATGATAAAAAAGTGATCAACAGTTGCAGGCAGCTAAAAGAGTAGCTAGCTCAGGCTCGTGTTCACGTGCGGTTGACATGGTGTTAAACTTTGACATTCTGGCATTAATAAAGTCGCTGAACATGTCGAATGATCCTGCACGAACGTTAGAAGCTGCTGCAAATAAGCAGTACAGATACAAAACGCTGTTTGTTTGCTTTCGCGTCGCTGTGAACGTCGCAAGACAGAGCCGTGCGAGGTAACTGATTCGGCGTCTCACAACCATTCTGCAGACTATGTAAATATCTTCTAGGACCGTTCTGTGCGTAGCGCAGGCACTCGTCTGACACTGCAGGAACGTTTCCATGCATGGGGTTCCACAGCACGCATACATCGCAAGAACATGCTTTCTGTACCGTACAGCTATGTATGTCACAAGATCAGAACGTGCGCAGTCACCCAGGTTGCACAGAGCCCCAGGAACGTTATGCGCGTCATACACTGTTGATAAATGGCGCACAGATCTTTGCGCGCTTAACTCCTCCCTCCTTTCTCATCTGCTGCCTCCCTGACCAACCTGCGCGAAAAGCGCCGGATGAAGCTCCAACGACAAGTGGACACCAAGTAAACAATCAAGAGGTATAAAAAACGAGGGTCAAGTGTAAAAATTCGAAGGGCAAAAAGTGAGAGATAGCAAATCAAATGAATAAAAATGAATAAAGCAAAGTAAAAAAGACAGTAAGATGAGCGTGAAAGGCCAAAAAGATAAAAATGATGTGCAGACACGGAAATAGACGAAAACTGGAGAGGGATTAGATGCGGCTGCCACAAGTCGAAAGTAGAAGCAAAAAGGCAATAAGTCAAAGAACCAAGATTCAAAGAGTTACAGTCAAGACGATAAAGGTCAATGCAACAGTCGGTGGTGGGGGGTGGGAGCTGGACGGTGGTATAGAGGGAGGCAGTTGTCACTTGAAGGCCAAGAGTAAGCTTGCGTCCTGACTTTGTGAGATCTCTTTCACACAAACTGAAGGTTTTTCTACCCACACATATGCCATCCAAATTTATTTGGAGGAGCAAAATAAAGAAGATATATGCTGAGCACATAACCGAGCTATGCATTCGGTTATTCAGTTTGCGTAATCAGGTTCGATAGGCCCTTTCTGCATCAAAACACCCTCTGTTCTGGATAACTCCGGCTTAGGAATCACTGCTTTATACAAGGGATCCCTTTGCTGGCAAGGGAGAAAACATTTTAAAATCAGGAGGCCCCCAATTTAGCAAGAAGCTTGTAATCGCGCAATCTTTTGTACAACCTACAGCAGTGACGGATAATTTGTCGCCGCGACGGACAGATCCCCAACCATTCCCCAATGCTCCAGCCAAACAATGACCAGGGTGCATATATGCGAAGTGGAAAGATTCAGGCTTAGGTCCTAAAATGACGTCTGTCGAACTACAAGCACCGATTTTCCTCGGGGTACTACGATTTAGGTAGTCACAATTTATTGCATGTGCGAGGAGCAGCCACCCAAAAAGCCCCCTGTAGAAAGGTCCCTGGAAACCCCTGTCCTAACTTAAAATCCATAGTGCGCCCTTACGCTGGATAGTTTTGATGACCATGCTGGTGTGGGACAGAGGGGGCCCGACTCATGTGAGTAAAAACATCTTTCCTAACCTCGCACGGAGGTCCATTTCAACACTGCAACTCTGCAGCTTACAATAAGTCGCGGGGCCGTTATTTGCTGAGTCTCTCTGGCTAAGCTTGGACAGACAGCTTCCTCAGCACTCCGCCCCCCCCCCCCCCCTCTTTGAGTGAGCAACTTACCAGGGGCACTTGGCGTGTTCGGAAGCCCCATGAAAACCTGGGTTTTTGGCCACGCAAGGTGTGTGCTTCAACTCATGTATTTTCATTTCTTTTCTATCCTGGAACCCGCTCCAATGCCATTCTACGTCGGTGCACGGGCGGCGCAGTGCGGAGGACAGGACCGTTCTGTGCGCAGTGTAACAGAGTGCTCCATCCCAGGATTACTCTTCGCGTGATTCATGACCGCCGCGCAGGGCCATTCTGTGTGCGGTACACCCGCAGAAAGCCAAAAGGCCGTCTAATGAATGGTGTACCCTTGCACACACCACAAGGCTATGGCTCATAAATCTACCTCTTTTGTTAACGGCGCTGCCTGTCGCATTTGTGATCAAATCTTAAAAGATGATATTGCCCGCTTCCTCTTAGATCACCCGCGGCCTTGTGGTGGGCACGGCATTGGCCTGGGTTAAGGCTTTGTAGACGATACATTCGCCTAGAATGAGGAGCTCCATTTAAACAATGTCCTGGGACAGCCGAGACATTGTTTTTCACGAAGACAAAAAACAAAATCGGGCAAAACTAGTGGATAAGACGGCGCACGCACGATCTTCTCACACGCCAGGCTGTGTCTTCCCAGCCTGATTGCCCGCTGTTTTCGAAGTCAAACAATGCTGACGGAGCGGTTGACGATGCAACTTCGTAATGCCAAGATCCGGGCTCCCTTTAAGCTTGGATACAATATGCAGTTGAGTATATATACAATTGTATCCAATACACAGTTGGATACGATTCGGCCGAGAGTTCACAACACGGTAATCTCACGTTTCATTTTCTCTTTTTGCGTTTACCTTGTAAGCCGGATCTGAACCTGAACCTGAACCTGCCACTGAACCTGAGCCTTTTACCCGGACCGGGCCAGCTGCCGCGTGCCGTCGTGCTGATAGTACGATCATCATGCTGCGAAATAAAGGAGCCCAAAATTTCAAAAGTCAGTGGCCACGCGAGTGAGAAGTTGGTTCACCTTTTGAACCCCGAAGTCAGAAGCTGGTCTCGCGAGTTCTCAATCGGTTATCTAGCACTATAAGCCAGGGAATTTGCGGTGTAGGGCGTCGAGATAAAGCGCAGGGCACACAAGTCGCACCCGAGTGGTTTGCACGTGTCAGAGGTTCCCCTCACCGCGAATCATCCGTGATTGATGACCGTTTGTGCGGGGGAGCAATCCTCCCATCGTTTATCCTCACCGCACGGCTGCATTCGGCTGCCTGCCTCGGCACGATCACGAGCGTTCACACCCCTCACGACCCGCCCTCCGATGTTCACGACTAACCCCCCCCCCTCCCGGCTCATGGCTGGCTTATCCGAGTCATGACTCACCCACCCGGTTCCAGAGCTATGCCTGTCGACTCAGGACTCAGGCACTTAAGCCGCGAACCCGGTTCGACGAGTCATGATCGATCAACCCGGTTCACCACAAGAGTCATAACTCGTCCACCACGACCCACGGCTCACTCCCTTATTATTCCCGACTCAACCGCCCGACTCACACTCATCCACCATGACTCGTGACTCTTTTCCCAACTCACGAATCAGTTGCTCTGAGTCACCATTCACGCACCATGACTCCCCTGGCTCCCATCCCGACCTCTCCGTCCCACGACCAGGCCACCCCTGACTCACCAATCACCCATGGCTCACGCACAACTCATGCACGACTCACCCCGTCTGACCTCAAGCCAGGACAGGCTGTGACGTCACGGCCCCGTCCCCGGCGCCGGGCCGCGTCAAACCCCGTCCCACGCCATCACCGCCGTCCCTGCTCCGGGCAGTCGTGACGTCAACATTTCCACCGGGTCGGCCGTGACGTCATAATTCCCACGGGGTCGCGCGGCCCGCTCAGAGGGGGTGCGGAGAACGGCCCAAGGGCTTGAAAAACGCTTTGGAGGTCAGTGAGGCTATAGGGCGGATCCAAAGTGGTCAAGGGAAAGCTCTAGTGACGTCCTCGTAGAAGTTAAGTACGGAGTGGAAGAAAAAAGGAAAAGCTTAAAGACGACTGCGATTTTAAACTCTCATGTGTCTCATTATGATTATATGTATATATATATATATATATATATATATATATATATATATATATATATATATATACATTTATATATTTATATATTTATATATTTATATCTATATATACATTACATCATAGATACGATTATATAAGTGTATAATATACGATTGATATGTGTATACATGTGGACGTATATCGTCATCATTTATTTCATATGTCTCATGATAGTCGCTTGATTTTGACAATCAACTACGGTATCGTTACACGCATTTGGCTATATTCCAGTAGATATGTGCTGTTAACAGCACAGCATGCTCTTAACAGCATGTCCATGGCATACTGCTTTGATAGCGTAATAGTTGATCTCATGATTATGGTCATGCATAGTTATGGATGAAGCATAATCCTGCATGCGTGCCATGCCCACAAACTTGCTTTTTGTAGAGAATGCGTTTCAGGCTCCCCAATCTCAAAACCGGCAACGAAACCGGTAAAACTGTCAAAACGATCAAAGCCTGCAAAACCGTCAAAACCGATAAAACCGGTAAACCGACAAAACCGGCAAAACCGATACAACCGGCAAAACCGTCAAAACCTATAAAACCGGCAAACCAGTAAAACGGATAAAACCAACACCAGCAACACTCCGCGCGACCCCACGCGCCGCACGGTGACCCGGGAAGGCGTGGCGCAAGCGCGACGCGCACGCGCCGGTGGGAGGAGCGCGAGGCGCCGTCGGTTCTGACCGCCGTGCGAGGCCCGCAGCACCGGCGGCGCCTCGTGGGCGGGTCAGGTCACGAGCCGGTGGGACGCGGTGGCTGGAGCTGCAGTCGAAGCCTGGAGAGGAAGCGGCGCTGTGGTGGAGAGGTGTGCTCATGCTGGGGTCCTGGGTTGATTGATGCACCGCGCTGGGAGGTGCGCTGGGAACTGCAGCTGGCACGGGCGAGGCGAAACGTGCTGGTCGTGACGGTCACGTGAAAAAGTGACGGCCAGGGTATGCTGATTGCTCATTAAGTCGTGAAACGGTACGCAAGGAGTGGCAAAAGGCCGTGTGGAAGCTCGGTGTAAGTGTGCTATCCCTGCATGTTGTTACTGCATCCATCACAAGTCGTAAGCAGCGGTATCGCGCTGCTCGTGGCAAGTGTGTACTGATCCTTTATGACTACAATAGACGGATCTTACCAATCAGGATCCGAAATCTTGCGGGCAATAGACTGAGCGGTAAATGTGCCCCGGAAGAGGGCACCAGAGGTAGCACTGCTACAGAAGAGAGGTGCGACTGGTAACTATTTCTGCCTTTTTTGCCGCCTTTTATGAATTTGTGACGTGTGTTTTTCGAAGCCAAACGTACTGCTGGGAAGCCCTAAGCCGGGCTTACTAGGTAGCCCAAGTGGGGGATTTTGCAAAGCCTTCTTTGCGACACATTCTGTGCTCGTTCCAATCCGTGCACCCACTTCAGAGCAGTCGCTCAGCGGCCTAGGAGACTTGCTGCAGCAAGCAAATCATCGGAGACCTTCATCAGCCTTGGAGCCTGCCTTGGACGACCGTGGGACCATCGCGTCTGGTCCCATGCCCGCTGGAAAACTCGGCGACTGCTTCGACACGTTCGGTCGATTTGGGCCGCGTCTGATGATGACAATGCACCGGACGGGAGGCGGGCGCCAGCCTCTTGTCGTGACGCCGCGTTTAGGCTTGTTTCAGGCAATTTATGGCCTTGGGGTGAGCAGCGCAACGCGAGCATGAACAGCGTCAGGGAAGGGTCGTTATGCACGCGTCGTTGGTGCTGATAACTTACTTGCTATTTGGAAACCTAGTTTTGGTTCATTCTAGGTGAAATTAAGTGGGAAAAATATGCTGGTAAGAGCAATGCTTGTGAAGAGAAGGCGCCGCCTGACACATGTCAGCGATTAATAACAACCCACACACACACACCCCGCAATGTGTGTGTGTATGTGTGTGTGTGTGTGTGTGTGTGTGTGTGTGTGTGTGTGTGTGTGTGTGTGTGTGTGTGTGTGTGTGTGTGTGTGTGTGTGTGTGTGTGTGTGTGTGTGTGTGTGTGTGTGTGTGTGTGTGTGTGTGTGTGTGTGTGTGTGTGTGTGTGTGTGTGTGTGTGTGTGTGTGTGTGTGTGTGTGTGTGTGTGTGTGTGTGTGTGTGTGTGTGTGTGTGTGTGTGTGTGTGTGTGTGTGTGTGTGTGTGTGTGTGTGTGTGTGTGTGTGTGTGTGTGTGTGTGTGTGTGTGTGTGTGTGTGTGTGCCCGCGTGGCTTGTTATCAATCGCCAACATGGCTTGTTGCTAACGAGCCATCATGTCATCTACCTTGGACATCTAAAACATAAAATAAGTTACGTATTTTTGATGTTTTTTAGGGTCCAAAATATCCGACCGAAGCCGTCGCTAGTTTTACAGGCAGCGGCACGCAACGCGTTGCATTTTAGCATTTACAAAGCATTTACGTTACATTACATTGCATTACAGTATCCCACGAAGCACAATACGAGTTGGCCACTTCTTGACTTGCGAACAGACTGTCAATGGTCGAGAGTATAGGCGGTGACTTTCAAATGATACATTCCTGAAAGCAAAATCTCGCGCGATCTTGAAGTGGCTCAAATGCCACCGAAGAACCTAATTGTATGAACCCGTTTGGGCAGATTGACGTGATTGGACCATGCTCCAGTGGTGCCGTTCCCCCCGCTAGTTTGTTGACCGCCTGATCCTCGAGGAGCCTCCAGTCCAAACGCCGGGCCTAATTGAGCGGCTCCGACACCACTGTTCTGACACGGCCCGCCCTATTTCGAAGCCGTGACCCTGCTATTTTTCCCTGCCCGCGCCCTTGCGCACCGCCGCCCCGTAACTCGAAACCAGGTCATTATGCGCACGAACGGCCAGATAGCCAATCTGGCCGCCCGGAGGCGTGTGAGCATGTGTCGGCGCGAGCGAGCCAGGGACCTTGTATTGTCCGCGGATTCATTCGCTCGCTGGCGATCATTAGCTGGCGTTGATTGACGTCATTGGTAGTTGATGGTGCGTCAATTCGGACAGCGGCCGGAAATTAACGGTGATGCTTATTCTCTTTGGGGATGCATGCTTAGTTTGCTGCCAGCGTAGAAAACGGGTACTCGGCTGCCCATAACATTGCACTTATTAAACATGGATATATCAAGTTTCCTATTTCCGATCGATGCTTCCTGCGCAATTTGGAAAGACTAGTGATGGAGTGACAAACCGTTTCCCAGACCACCAGCATCTTCCCACACGCTTTCCTTATCCTTCCTCTCGTGTTCTGTGCTGTGTTCTGCTCTTCCTCAGTTTTCTGCACATGCAGTCTTCTTTTCGTAAGTGTTTGTTGCACGCAAAACAAGTGCTTTCATTATGTTTCTTCCCGCAGGGTTCTAAGCATACAGTCTCCTTTTCGTGAGTACTTGTTGCACGCAAAGCAGTTATAAGTGTTCCACCTAGTTCAAGTACGTCGAAGGTCATAACATTTTTGATCCCACTGCACCATGCTCAATGTCGTGAGCAAGTGAAGTCCCCTTCCCTGACCAATAGCCCACTGTCTACAAACCGAAGAACACCCGAACCATCCCAGCACCTTGAGGCCCTGCCCCCGCCCCACTTCCCCTAATGACGTCAAGACTTCGACGCACCTGTGACTCCTGGCCGACCGAGTAACGCATCGCCCCGGGCCGCGGCCCGGCCCGTGCCAGCGTGCTCGGGCACACGGGTCGCGTCATTAGGCTCGGTAATGGCGACGGGGCGCGGGAGCCGACGCACTCTGCGACAGGTTGTAATGACGGGCGTGACGGATGTGACGGGTGTGTGACGGATGTGACGGGCGTGACGGGTGTGGCGGGTGTGACGGGTGTGACGGGTGACGGGTGTGACGGGCGTGTAAGCTGCAGCGGAGACGCCGGCGGTGCAACGGGGCGCCTGATGACCATGTTGAGACTGCACGGAGGTGATGCACGGGTAGATCTGTTGTGCGTTCGTTTGATTGCTTTTTTGTCAAGGCAATGCATTTGTCGTATGCTTCATAAGATCATGATCATTGTGTTGATGATCTCCCAGCAGAGATGGGCAGAACTCAGTGCTGAAGCCCAGCAGAAGGGGGGGGGGGGGGGCAAGGGTTTAAATAGACCTCAACGATGCTGACCCAGTGGAAAATCCCACTGTCAGAAAACGTCACACGTTCCATGCCGCTAAACGCACAACAAAGCTATCACAGAGAATGCTTAAACATGAGCTAACGACGCGCACTTGCTTTGGCAACACTGCGCAATGTCCGGCGACCCTGGGCAAAAATATTGCCAACTGGTAAAAGAGCTTTGTAGTGACTGATATTGTACCGGTATTTGTTGTCAGTCGCATGATTTGACCTTAGTTGTCGCCAGCAAGGGCAACAATGCATAATAAGCTACGGCGGCGTTCCCGTTACCTGCATGCATACATGTTAGTTGCTCAAGTAGCAACTAACATATACATAATTGTTGGTTGCTACCTATCCTTATGAAAAGTTTCTAGTACTGGGCCCCTTTGCAACGTTGTTTGCGCTGTGAGTAGACTAATTGTCATTTCCGTCTTTAGTCTGTGATATTTTTACGATGTGTGTGTGATTAGAGATTTACGACCCACTCAGCCGCTGAGGCTATATGGCGTCGCCTGACTCTCACCCTGGCAGGAAGGGCGGGCACCGCGGGGAATCGAACCCCGTACCTTCGGTTTCCCAGACGCGCAGTCGTTAACGCAGACGTACATTTTTATTTTTACGCTCTGGCTGGTAATAGTGATCAGCGTATTACGAGTGAAGACATTGAAACTTGACGTTTTGCATTGAGGGTGCTGTTTCGGCGCAAACCTTGTGGTCAAAAGGAAGATGCAAACGGCAATTTTGGAAAAGAGCGACGCAAAAGCCCATGCACATTCAGCTACGTTGCAGCCAATGACATTGCATCATTGCAAGATGACGTAGAAAGCCTAGACTTCTCGGCGTAAACTGGAACAGCGCCTGACTCACGTGTCAGTACAATCTAGCAGACCTAGCCGATCTAGATCTAGATCTAGCACTGAGATATGACGGGGGAGGTGTCGTGTCGGTGCGTACTTTCTGCAGTGCGGCTGTGTTTTACGTACTTTGGCTGTTCAAGCTTTTACGCAGGGAATGTTGGGCCGTAGTAAAAGAAATGCACCGTTTTTTATTGCATGGTAGTCGGAGTTTAGCGATAAGCGGTGTGAGTGGTCAGCCATCATGACATTGCAACACCAAGGAAGCAATCGAGTGTGGAGGAGAGAGTTGAGATGCAGTTTTGTCGACTAATTTGATGAAATAAACGAGTGGCACTTGTTCTGGCCCGCAAAACTGGGTTTATCAGCGTGTTTCCCCTGCTCCACACACACACACACACACACACACACACACACACACACACACACACACACACACACACACACGTTGTGGTAAGTCCCCCATTCCACTGGCCATGTCACGCATGGGACTTGATGAAGGAGAGGAGGGGGGGGGGGGGGCTCGACGGAGACGCAAACGAAGCCTGTCGGATTTTTCGTCGCCGACAGCAATGTTCAAGAACGCGTGCAAAGTCCGCTGTCCGCCCGCGATCTCTGCCGCATGTCTCCACCCTTCGTCGGCCGCCGCCTCTCCCGTGTCAAACCCCCATCCAGGGCCGATGTCGTCACGACCTCTTCATGAGGTCACGTGCCGTGTGTATTACTCCGGTGCAGGCTGGGACCGATGGCTTCCGGCTGTTTTGCAAGGCAGCGCGCCGGCAGCGGGCGGACGGCGCTGATTGGGCAATCGGTAAGTGGGCGGCGATGTGATTGGCGGTCGAGTGATGCGCAGCAGCGCCGCCAGAGAGGCGCGCATGGTCGTTTCCGGGGTGAGTCGTGCTGGAGCGGACACACTATTGGCATTTTAACAGATATAGATAAATGACATGTACAGCTGAGATCTGGCGTAAGTGCTCAGCAGCGTCTACTCGCAAGGACCGTTAATACAGTCCATGGGTACGCCCCTGTTCCGATGGTCATTCGCCGATCGGCACCCTACAAAGCTTACAGTCGTTCCTCGTTCAAGATCTGCCGAGGGTCAATGGGGACCAAGCGGGGCTCACGAATAGGTCAATGGGAGAGGCGGGGCTCTTCGCTGCTTTGACGATGACGTTTTATCTTGACAATTATCGCAGGCATATATCACGCTAATAGATTGGTGCATTCGGGCCGGTTATAGGCCATCCCGCGATATGCTTTATGAAGCCTCGTGCGTTCAAGAGGGAGCCGGGGTCAAAGTGCCGCTGATCTGTAAGTAAGAGTCTTGGTCAGGCGTCCGTTGGATCAGGAACACCTCCGACACAGATGGATAATTGACAGCAGATTGAAGGAAAAATGAGGTCAGCATGGAGCTCGTGGTCAAATCCTTGCAGCACCATAAAACTTGTAATTAAATTTTATCCGGTGAAGGAAGATGAGCTCTGTGTATTTCAAAGTGGGTCCTTGATGTCTATTCCGGATTTTATTTGCAGCCATGCCACCCTACACATGGCCCATGCCGTTGGCAATGTCAAGTTTGGGCGATTCCCATAGAATCCCATAGATTCCCATGTGCATCGCCAACGTTGAGGTTCGCGATTGGGCTAACCACCCGACCCATCAAAGATGGAAAGCTTCACCTTAAGCGATGCCGCGACCCGACGCATAACGCTTGGCCTCGACCCCCACACTTCCTGTCGACAGCAAGGAGCGCTCTTTTGAGGCGTGGGTGTGGGAAGAAAGGCGGCTGGTATGGATGGAAGGGGGACGGTTGGTGTGCGAGCTGTTCCATGCGATGGAGATAAGCTTACCCATCGTTTAAAGGTCTGTCTTTCCCTGAAGATGGATTAATTGACGATTTTTCCTTCATGAACCAAAAAAAAAAAAACGCAGTTAACATGACCCACGCGTGTTCTCGCCTCTTGCCGTGAACAGGATTATACGAAAAGTCGATGAAGCCAGAGAAGTGTTCTACGCCACGGCTGTTTTCGAACAACACATGGAATCGCTGAGGTAAACACTCCGCATCCCGCTGGTGCATGAACACGCCACATCAGTGGAAACACTGCCCTGATATTGGCTGCTATAGCAAATATTTTCTTCTCGGTACATACGGCAGCATTATTTCAAGACAGCGCCTTCCTGTTGGGGCTTCCCGCGTGGTTGTCTTCCTTGACACAGACATGATTCTGCTACATTGCTACACTGATCCTGCTACTTCCCCAGCCGGGAGGGGAAGGGGCATTGCGGGAGGGGGGGAGGGAAAAGGTGAATACGAGCGACGGAGTCACTCGTGTTCGCCCCTGGGGGGGGGGGATTCCGCTCAGTTAGAAGCACATGATTTACGTTACTCCAACAACCAGACTGATGGAGCACGACGCCCTCGGCAAGCGATGTCGAGGGGGGGGGGGGGTGAACTGATGCATTGGAATGTCTACGTTTCGTGAGGACTTAACTAGCAGCGTTCGGCCACTGATGCAGCATTCGTGCGGCAATTGAAGTAAAATATGCATGCAGTACAACCGTTAGAAAATTGCGCTCCTTGTTGTTGGAAATTGTGTGACTCTGCGCTGAATTGCTGCAAATAAATTGGCGCTCAGAAAGCGAGACTGTCGGGTCAGGTCAGGCCGGGACACTCCAGCGGAACAAGTTTCTCAGAGTCCAAATAAGACCGACGTGGCCCAAGGCCTCTTTCGTTATAGGTGCCTCTAGCATATCAGGCGAGCAATTTGGTTTATTGGGCCACGGTTACGTCCCGTTTCAGCGGTAGTTCCTTGTCAAAAAGCCGTTCCGTTTCACAAAGCACAAGCATCACAATGTCGTATATGCTCTACGACTGCCTTAGCCAGGGGTGCCTTGTGTGTGTAGGTGCATAATTGGGGTTTTACGACTCATTCATCTGCTGAAGCTATAAGGCGTCGCCTGTCTCTTACCCTGGCAGGAAGGATGGGCACCGAGAATCGAACCCCACACCTCTGGTTTTCCAGTCGCACAGCTTAACCATCACAATATCGGTGCCCCCAGGATTACCGGGAGTGGAGGACAGGGGCTCGGTGAGAACGCATCATGAAGCAATTAAAGAAACCGCCAATAGTACCAAGGCAAAAGTGCAGGTCTGAGAGAGGACTGGACTCGCTCTCTTCCCTCCCCCCCCCCCTTCTCTGACGCACCCATGTGCTCTACATTCCCAGCCCTGTTTATGGGGCGGCACGGCGGCGGCCGGAAGCGTTACACACTCGCGCAGTTCTCCACTTACAGCAGCTGCAGGTGGCGGCACCCATCCATTTCCTTGTTATAGGTGGCGCTAGTGCTGTCGGCTTTCATCGTTCTTCCCAGTGACGTGTGCTGTGGGTGTCGGTCTAGTCTCGCCTGTTGCTGCTCTGTTTAGAGCGATTTTTCATTGCCTACTTTCCTGAATGTCAGCTGGGAGTGAACTCCAAAGGTGACACTGGGTTCTTAACTTAACATCTCCTCCAAATTAAGGTGCAAAGCTGATAAGTGACGGGTGATCAGCTGGTGTGGGAGGCTGTCTAGTGATTAGTGATCAGCTGGTGTGGGAAACTCAATCAAAGCGTGATGCGGTAGTTCGATCGGTGTCTTCTGGTCAGTTGATCACTTAATATCCTTCGGTCAGCTG